CACCTGTTGTTTGTGGATGACACTATTGTTTTTTGTGATGCTAGAGTTGACCATGAGGTACTTGAGATGTGTTTTGGCTTGTTTCCAAGTTGTCTCTGGCTTGAAAATCAACATTGGGAAATGTGAGATCGTTCCAGTTGGGGTGGTGGAGGAGATTCAGGCTTTAGCAGATATTTTAGGTTGCGGTGTTGGCGCTTTTCCAATCTCTCATTTGGGGCTCCCCTTGGGTACCTCGTCGAGGAGCATTTTTGTTTGGGATCCGATTGTGGAACGGTTTGAGAAGAGGCTGTCAGGTTGGAAGAAACAACACTTGTCAAAAGGGGGGAGGGTTACGCTTATGAAAAGCACCCTTTCCAATCTCCCGACCTATTTCATGTCGGTCTTTCCGATGCCTATGACAGTTGTTAGAAGACTCGAAGAGGTTCAGAGGATGTTTTTGTGGGGAGGTTTGGGTGGTGATTTCAAATACCACTTAGTTAATTGGGAGAGGGTGTGCACCCCCATTAAAAAAGGGGGCTTGGGAATTCGAAAGCTGGATGTTTTCAATAAGGCGTTGTTAGGCAAGTGGTTGTGGAGGTTTGGGGGCGAGAGGTCTAAGCTTTGGAGGCGGGTTATCTCCTGTCATCATGGAGAGGGCGATGGAGGGTGGCAGTCTAGGGAGACGAGATGACCGGCGGGTATGGATTCTTGGAAGTTGATTCGAGGGGGCTGGGATGAGTTTTCAAAATGCATTCGCTTTAAAGATCGAAATGGAAGGAATGCCAGGTTTTGGGAGGACAGATGGTGCAGGGACTTAGCCTTGGCCCTTAGTTTCCCTCGGCTTTTGAGGATTGTTGTAAATAGGCACGTTGTGGTTGCTGACTATTATCGACTCGACAATGGGAGGGTGACTTGGGATGTGCAGTTCCGTAGACAGTTCAATGATTGGGAGATTATAGAGGTTGCAAATTTCCTAGCCTATTGCCAGATGGTGACCGGGGTGGGAGGGCAACTCCAACGGGACTTTTGAGGTTAGGTATTTCTATTCCAGTTTGATGGAGTCTGTTCGCCCCTCTTTCCCTTGGAAAGCTATCTGGAGGACGAAAGCTCCTTTGAAAGTGGCTTTCTTTTCGTGGACTGCTACCTTGGGAAGCATCCTTACTATCGGGTGAATTGGTGCTACATGTGTAAAAAGTCGGGTGAATCCGTGAACCACCTTCTCCTTCATTGTTCAGTGGCAAGGGATGTTTGGTCTATATTTTTAGTGGCTTTTGGTCTTCCATGGGTGTTTCCTTTTTCCACGGTGGACATGTTAGAGGCTTGGAAAGGGTGTATAGTGGAGAGCCAAGTTAGAGATGCTTGGAGGGCTACTCCCCTTTGTATTTGGTGGGGTATTTGTCATGAGAGGAATAAGAGATCCTTTGAGGGAAAGGAGTCTCCTATTTGGTCTCTCAAATTCAGTATTCTATCTTCCTTATTGATAAGCGCCGAATGTTGCACATTCAAGCCCTCTTATTTATGCATGTTAGTTAGTTTTATTTATTTATTTGTTACTTTTATGCCATTTGTGTGTTTTCGCCATTTTCAGGCACTTATCCTCAAAATCGAGTTAAATCGGGAATTTCGGGACTTCAAGCAATGAATCTAACCAAGCGAGTTCCCGTTGAAGGCTTCAAATACTTGATCCACATTCATATTCAATGCCGAGCCCAAGGGAAAGCAAGTTAATGATGAAGAAAGATCAATTTCAGAAGAAGCTAGCCATGCACCCGGAATGGGCGACTGGTCGCCCATTTATAGCTTGGGCTTGGCGACCAATTGCCAAGCCAAATTTCCAATCCGGAGCAAAAAGGAAAAAATGGGCAAAGAGTTGCGTTTTGGGCGACTAGTCGCCTAGTGTCAACCTCCCCTGTCGAAGCCCGCCAGCGCACGCCCCACGGCACCTGGCAACTAGTCGCCCCTGTGGTCAACTTTTTGTCAAATAGTGGTTCAAAAGCAACTTACTTTCCCTATTTTAGTGGATTTTGCACCAGACCATGTGGGCTCGAAATTAACCTCTTGGAGGACCACACAAAGCATATATTTGAGTTTGTCTTGCATAGAAGACCTTATCTTCAATTAGAGATAGAAAGGAAAGAGTTCTAGAGAGAAAAAGATTGGTCCTTGAAGCTTGAAGCTCATCCATGGATTCTAGCTTAGAGATGATGTCTTCTTCCACCAAGGAGGCCTCCACCTTGACGATGAGCAACTAAACCTCTTCTTAGGGAGTTGATGTAGCCAACTCCAAGTAAATATGTCTTGATTTGTTTGTATTTTGGGGAAACATTATGTTAATGCATAGCTTGTTGTATAACTTTCATTTTGCATGTATTTCATACTTTGTAATGAATTTCAATGTTTATATTATGTCATGATAAAACTCCTCTTGTCTGAGAAAGAATTTATTATGTTTGAGCCAAGATCATCTTCATAATGACAATGGAAATGACAAGTTATACACATGTTTACATGGCATACAAGGCAAGAACTTTGATATATCATACCTAGGGAAGACAATTTGTGCTACATATTAGATTAATTTAGATAGGTAAACAAGTTGTACCAACCAAAGATGAACCATGCTTAGTTCTTGAATTGTATGTGCATTCATCCTCTTAAAGAATTTGTTGTGAGTGTAAGCCACACAATTCATTGCTATGCTTAATATAGTTTTCCCTAAAGCAAATATAATCGGACATAGTTACAATGGGGATGGTAAGTCAATTCCCTAGTCGTCGCTCCATTTGCAAACTTAATCATTTTAATTTCAAGTCTAGTATTTTTTTTCAAGCAATTTAGATCACACAACAATCATCATCCAATCATTCTCGGATCAAATTGGGATTAATCTTGAATAATTAACGGCCATAAACTTTACAATCCTCGTGGTTCGACACCCTTTACGTAGCCATATCCTACAAGGACTCATGCTATTGCGAGTGGTTTTTAATTGAAAAGAATATCAAGTTTTAGAACACATGACTTATTCTCTTGAGTCAATGGGAGGGCTTGTAGCTCTATGGATAGTCTTTTGGATTTTGTGGATAGTCTTAAGTTATAGTGTCGTATGTACGTAAATCTATATAGAAATGATAGAGAGATGTTTGGGAGCTCGAAAGGGTCGATAAATCCAGAGATTTTTCCGACATTGTAAGGTAACCCTCCTTTGTCTGGTCTTCACCATCGTCATCCTACGTGGCACTATCGGCGCCGGCAAGTTCAGCACGCCGGAGCAAGACTTTAACAAGATCCGAAGCCATTTCTACTCTCGCAAGCATGCAGAGCCTCAACGAGTCCTCGAAGAGGTATAAACAACATCAACATCCACTGAAAGCAACAATTACACCACATTTGACATAAACAAATTGTTGGTCGGCGAAGAAGAAGAGGACGACAAGCCTAATCCGAACAAGCTGTACAGTATGGGACCTAAGATTTCAAATTGGGATGAACAGAGAGCGATTCAAAAAAAACCCTAATTCCCACAATTTCATTGGACCCAATAAGCCTAGGGCTTTTCTGGTGACTGGGTCATCACCAAAGACGGTGGTCCTTCTTGTCGAGGGAGATGAGGGAGCCGTATGAGAAATCTCAGGAGGATGTGGAGAACCTTTGGGGGGCTTGGGGCTGGAGTGTCGACTGGGAGTTTCGCCACCAAAAGCCCATCTCCTTTCATCATCATCACCGACAATCGCACCCAATTTTTTTTTTTTTTTTTTTTTGGGATATTTAACCCAAAATTCCTTCTTTATATATATATAGATTTACAGAGAGACTGATGGAGGGAGAGAGAGAGAGCTCATCCTATTATGGGGGTACTTTTGTATTTTTGCTTTTCTAATATTTTCTATTATATTGCATTAAAAAGTGGGGGCACATATGATATTTCACACCATTTTTAACTCAATATCTGACATGGGGTGTAAGTGAAAGTTAAAACCAAAATGTCCATCTAGGTGAGATTTGACCTAACCTGAAGGTTGTCAGTTAATATACCCTATTAGTAAAGCCTAAAGTGAACTAGAAGAACTTCGGGAGCAATTAGAATAATCGCAAAATCAAATGCTTGTTTTTAACCAGCACCCAATATGTGACTCACTCAAGCTCCTCTAGCTTTCCCTACCAATTCATTGATCATAATTGACGTATGAAAGGAGATTCTGACATTCTGAAACTCCCAGCTCACCTCCATCCCCACTTGCTCTCTTTCCCCTTCCTGTGCAATTCCGCTGCTCCCTTTTCCAGTCCTCTTCAATGGATTGAAAGATGTTTTGAACCTCATCTTCATGCCCCTCATACGCCAGCCCCAATTCTTTGATTACATCCCCGATATTGGCCAAAATCCTCTCGTGTTATAGTTTTTGTGCCTTCTAAAAGCAACAGCTTCTCTGTCAACCCATCCTCCATAGCTGCATGTGTAGGCTAATGATCAATGTGAAGAGGAGGGTCTCAAGTGAGACATTGTGTTGATTAGAGACCAGCTGCTGGTGATTTCAGAAAGCAAAGTCCGCACCATTGGCAAAGCTGTTGTCAATGGTAAATCAACACCTGAGCTGTCGATGAATCGATAACTAGCAGTAACTTGTACTGTTTCCCAGGTGAATGATTGAGTTCCAAATTAGATCAAGTGGTATTTAGCCATTTGGATTTCCCACATAAAAAATTGATAATATCTTGTTTGTGGTTCCCTTTTTTTTCTTAACTAAGCGATTGTGGTACATGGTTTACATCAATATAACCAGAAACAAACAAATAAATCAAAGTTGGTCCTGTTCACTCCCCTCTAGGTCCATCAGTTAATTCATAATCCAACAGGAAATTTCAGCATATATAACTCTTAGATATTATATCCATGTAGCTAAACGGTAAACCCTATTCTTTTATTATCAAAAATACTCTCCTATGCGTAAAATGGTACAAATTCTCACATGCTTCTTAGAAAAAAAGGATAAATATGTAAGAATCAGAATTACACTGCTTACCATATATGCAACCAAAGATGCACTGCAAAGTTGAGGGGAAACTATTTGCTGCTGTGATTGACCGGCAGAAAATAGACATCAGCTTCACTCTCAGAACAGGATTCCCAGGACTCACTCTAGATTCTGGTGCAATATGTTCAGCTCCAGCAGTACCTGCATAAAATGCAAATCAGCTATGCATATTGGATGTGCTATGGTAGTTTATAGGACTGAAGTTAGCCCTTGACACAAAAAAAAAAAAAAAAAAAAAAAAAAAAAAAAAAAAAAAAAAAAAAACTTTCTAACTAAAATCATTTGTTATTGATTCCGAAGTCTGACTAGAATTACCAGAAGCAATTCAATGAACTCAGCCGTGGAAACCTTCTATGGTATGGACATATTCAACGTAGAACTCTAGATGCTTCAGTGAGATAAGGAAGATTGGATTCTATGGAGGGTAGATGGCAAGAGAAACGAGGTCAACCAAAATTAATATGGAATGAAGTAATAAGAAATGATTTTTTTAAAAAATAAATCTAATAGAAGAAATGGTTTGTGATAGAAGGGAATGGAAAAAGAGAATCCATGTGGCCAACCCTATCCATATAGGATAAAGGCAATGATGATGATCAAGACAATGATCATCCCCATAAAACTTCGTGCTTAAAACTAGTATATAGCATCTGATACTTAGATGATGCTTACGTGATTAGCTGGGGTGCACCAAAGATTTATTCAGTATGATGGTAGGTCAATTTACCTTGTATTCCTTTATAAGGAGTCTATGCAACGTTTAATGTTTGAAATTCTCTCAGATGTATCCACAACCGCAATATCATTATATTAAGGTGTCTTACAAAACATTCTCTGGCCCTCTTGAAAGTGTTTACAAGGTGGTGTAATAAGCCCAAGCTCCTCAAATTGTTGGTTAAGGACTCCTGAGACATGCATAAAGAATGGCCAGAGTAGCAACTGATTATGTGCTAAAAGTCTAAAACTGAAAAACAGTTATCCTATATGATCTGTCTTAGCAAGTTTGGCACCATGTCAAATTTCGTACTTTATTATATAAATTGGAATTAATTGCAAAAAAAAAAAAAAAAAAAAACTCCTGTACCATACAAGTTTTGGCATGTTGCCCCCTGAACTAAAAATATAGCAAAGAGCACCTTCCACTATGGAGAGGGGAAAAAGGTGTTGCTGAGTTGAGTTAACTATCAAAATTAAAGATGTTGTCTACCTACTTTTTGAAAATTGAAATATTGGAGTCAATCACATAAATTGAAATATTGGAAAATTGAAATATTGGAGTCAATCACATAAATGCATAGAAGTAAATGTCATTTGCATACATCAAGGAAATGACTTGCAAGGCCCCTTAAGTTTTCTACAAAACAACTCCATCTTATTAGGTTTCAATATATTATTCTAAATGTTTCTTCTAAAAACAGCTGGAAGAGAGAGAGAGAGAGAGTGAAGAAAACAATTAGGAATAAATCTGAAAAATGGACTAAAGTACTCCCAATGAACGTGTAATGCTAAATTCAAAATGTAAACCGCTGGATATTAGCATTATTAGACAAAGCTCATATAAGGAAACATAGTTGTAAAACATCCAACATTCTTCCCAAGTTGACAGTCCTAGTTTCAAAGATCTCCTCCTCAGGTCATTGGCAGCTGATGTTTTCACTATCTGGGTCTCTTACTACAGGATCTACATCCCCAGAATGCGCTTGCAGAGTTTTTTTTTTTGATAAGTAACGCTTGCAGAGTTTTCTCCATGAGACATCTAAAGAACACTATAATTTCAATTGATAGACAAGAAGCCATAAACCAGTTTTGATCTATCATCCGGGGGTCCTAATGAGTGGTGGGCTGGATACAATTTCCAACCAACAGCATTTTCACGAAGCAGCCACGAAATGAGTAACATTTTTTAAGGTTGGTAGATTTCACCTCGAAAAAGAGATTCAGATTTAGGCTGTCTATTCCTAAGGGAGTACCAAATTTATACAAAGGTTTTCAAGTGAGTTATTGAACTCATTCCAAAAAAAAAAAAAAAACAAATGCCACAACATCCAACTGAAGCAAACAATATTTAAAACTTTAGCCGTATCCTCTCTGGTTTTGCATTAACCTACATCTATTTATTCTAAATTGGTACCATGATTAATTCATGTTCAAACTGTTTGATTCTTTTGGCAAGCAATTTTTGAGAGAAAGGAATATTATTGCTTCAATGGGATTGTTTAGGTTTCCCAGTAAAGAAAATTACAAAAGAAAAAGAAAAGAAAGGCACCTTTCCTAAGGGAGGGGAGCAGCACTTTATCTTACGTTCCAAGGCTGTGTCATTTTATTTCTTCAGAGGCAAAATCTTACAATAAGGTGTTTCATTACCTACTAGTTGAAACATAAACCTTATGACAGGTAGAGCGCATGCGCGCACAAGAGAGAGATTGTAAATGAAAAAAATTAACATATTTAATCATTATATTGACATCTCAAAAGCACACTACAAGTGATTGAATATATAACATAAAACAAAAGAAGATACATGGTTAAAACAATTAAAGTATAAAGGAAAGAGAAAAAAATAAAATAAAATATATATATATATATATATATATGTTGTTAGTTATAAGAGATTCAAATAAATAATAAAAAGGTTAACTTGAAGCATACATTTCTTAAGCCAATATGTATCAGGTGCACCATTGACAAAGCCCTGGCTTGTAAGTCAGATGCCTAATGACATCATCAGTTAATTTTAAAGCATCAAAGTGATCATCATACATAGGGAGCAGACTTCAAGACAACATTTAAAGGACTCATATATGCTCAAACATGTCAATCTCATTAATTGGGGCAAGAAAGTCTTACAAATACAATACCTAAGAAATTCAAAAACATTTTTAGAACTCACACAATCTATCAGCATGAAATTTTATCCCTGAACTTCTTGTACGATTAGTTAAAAAAATGGGTCTAAATATGGATTAAGCATGAAGTTAAATGGTGCAACAACGGATATACTAAACTGGAAAAGCACAAAGAAAATTAGCTTCCACTAAAAATAAAAATAAAAAAATTAAACATTGTTCCATTTCATACCATTAAATAGTAAAAACAGTTCGTTCATCATGTTTGCATCCTCTAAATTCGCACCAGAAGCCTTCTTTTTCAAAAGCTCTTCCCCTCTCTTAACAACAGGCTCTTGCCTTGAAAAAAACAACCATTAAACATGATGTCATAATCCGGTGCTAAGATTAATGCAAGATTTTGAAACAAAAAAAGGAATATAAAATAACTTCTTAAATTATCTCAATAAGAAAGTAATCAATACCAGTCTGCACAAGCAGATACATAGATAGGATATACAAGTTCAGGCGCCAGCTCCATAGCATCAATGACATTCAAGATCCCTAACTAAAGAAAGGAAGTCAAATTAACCAGAAAATAAAATAAAAATTAAATTACTCATGCCAAATAAATAAATAAAATTTAAAAATTATATATAAGCTTAACCATCTAAATTTCGGGAATAGGATTGTTTTAGACTTCCACTAACTTCACCTTTCTAATTATAAGCAAATCATTTTTCAACGGATCTTTGCCAGTGACACGGTTACTTTGAGTAATTGAAAGCCCAGGTGCGCATCCTCCACTGCAAGGATAGAGAGAATTCTTGTAATAAGAGAATGGAGAAAAAATTTAGATCAATTTACTACTACAGTAATAAATTGGACTCCAGACCCTTGAGATGGTGGTTGATATAAAACTGTGTGAAGGCAAAATTCAAGAAATATCTTTGTGTCCTCAGAACCACTAATTGCCCTGTACTTTGCAGCAACTTCATCATTAATTTGAGTTGAATGACATTCACCAATCACCTGAAACCAAGAAAAGGTTGAAGATTTGGCCACGATAAAGTGTTGATCACATTGTAGTCTGTTATCACAAAATCAGAAAACTGTGCTAAAAATCAAGATATGGTTCCCTAATTACACAACCGAGGATAGATGTTTTTCTCTCTGTGTTTTAGTGTGTGTATGAGATACTTAAGAGAGAGATTGAGGCAGAGGGAGAGAGATAAAGAGAGAGAACCCTGCAAGATACAACATATTAAGACATGAGCAAAATCAAATCATCATTCTGATTTGAAAAATAGCCTTCTGTAAGAAAGAGGGCTTAGAACCATCTCTGAATATACACCTTCTTTTTCTTTCCTTAAGTGATAATATATTAGGAAAAAAAGATATGTCAAGAGATCAAGAGGGGCATATCCCCCCATACCGAAAGGATCATAGCCAAAAAGCGCTATAATACGTATATAGGACAAAAAGGAAAGAACTACTGACTTGTTCTTAATTTTGAAATATACATCTGTAGCAACTTTATATGTAAATACATGGATACATATTGCATATAATACATATATAGGATAACACATAAATAGGAGAAAATGGAAAAAAGAATTCACCAGTGAAATAGATAGAAGTATAGAACCATAATATACCTTTGCAGTGATTCTCAAGACTATCTCCTGGTGCTGAGGAGGAAGCTTCGAAATATTAGATACAAGTATGGGTGCCATATTTTCCTTCTCCTATATAAAGAATAAAAATTTAAAATTAATATAAAAACATATGCTGTTGGTATCAATTTCAGATGTTATTATGGCAAGCAAGTAGCAACTATTCCAAAGCAAATAAAACATAATTTAAAAATCAAACTTTAAATAACAGAGAAATCCAAACACACCTCTACATTTAGTCGTTCAAATGCCATTTCTATATATACTATGCAAAAGTTCTTAACCATAGGAGCAGCATTTGCTTCCACATACAACTTCCATAACTCCGATAACGGCAAACCAATCTCTGGCTGGTGTTTCACTCTCTTGTTCACATGACTCAGGATCTCAATAACCTATCATAGGTCACAAGGACAAATATCCATATTATTGATCAAAACCAGAACCTCAACAACTGTCCAATTGCAGAAATTGAAAAGGAAATTATATCCAGCAATAATAGGTGTATATCAAAACAATTCAAATGCAAGCATCCTGAGAGGATGTGTAACTGAGTAAACATATGCAAATCACCCTTTGTTAGAAGCTTACATATGACCATAGGAATTCAAAATTCTGGGTTTACATTTTGGAGAGAATGGGCTCCGGTAAGAAGAGGAGAAGGTGGATTCTCTTTTGTGTCTCAACAGTGAAATTCTCAGTCTTTAGCGAATGGATCCCCTGCAGGCTATTTAGTAGCTCTAGGGGGCTGAGACATGGCAACCTTTTATTTCCGTTCCTTTTTTATTAGTGATGGAGGGCACAGGCTCTTGGCTACATTAGAGTGTTTGGGGTGGGAAGGAGCAGTCACTCAAGGGCACAGGCGTTTTATTAGATTTCTTCAAATGGGAGGATTGGGTGCTAGGAAATTTAACATGTTTAATCAAGCCTTGATGGGTCAATGGCTTCAGATATATGGGGTGAAGAGAAACAAATTGTGGAGGAGAATTATAGAGAGAAAAGTTGGAGAGGAAAGAGGAGGTTGGTGCTCCAAAGTGAATGCCCTAGCAAGAGTGGGCTTGTAGAAAATTATTCGTAAGTATTGGAATGAATTTTGTAAATGTGGTCATGTGGTCTCCTGCATGCATATTTCGAGACTGTTCAGGATTGCGGTAAATAAGCAAATCATGGTGGCCAACTGATATCGACTTGACAACAGGAGAGTGACAAGGGATGTGTAGTTTGGAGGGCAAATTCAAGACTAGAGAATAGATTATATCACTCATGGGAAGGTGATGATGAGCGGAATCGAGTTGACTCCAGGCATGGAGGATTTGTAGTGAGATCATTTTTATCAGTTGTTGCAGCATTGCAGGTGACCAATCAATACCTTTCTCGTCAAAAGCGATCTGTAGAACTAAAGTCCCTCTCAAGGGTAGCCTTTGTTGGATGGACAGCGGTCTTGGACAGATTTTGACGATTGAAAATTTGAGGAAGAGGCAGCATATTGTGATAAATTGGTGTTGTATGTGCAAGAGGAATGAGGAGTTAGTGAGTACACCTATTGCACTGCCCAGTGCCTACGGATATTTGGGCTATGCTTTTTGCGGTCTTCGGGGTTCAATAGATTTTGCAGGCTTTTACAATGGGCTTGCACAACTCTAGGGCAGCTCATTTTTGCATTTGGTGTGCCTTGTGGCGTGAAGAAATAGGAGGTCCTTTGATTGTGTGAAGTTCCGATATTGGTGATAAGAACTTTCGCAAACTAGTACCCCATAACCACAATGTTTCATTCTAAGCCTTAGTTATGGTTTATAAAAGAAAATTACATGTAATTCAGTCTTACTTTTAAAAATCCAAATCTAGTGAAAAAAAAAAAAAAATTGTCCATTATTATATGGATTCTAGTTTGGACCCCAAATGAATATATCTAACTCCGCCCATGAATACAATCTTCAGATTTTCATAGTATAAAGCTATTTCCTGCAACCAAGTTCGAAGCCTATAGTTTGCTTTGCAAAGTCAAACCATATCAACATTTCAGACTTTAAAATCGCAAGTCATTGGTAATTACAAAAATAATAATAACTTGAACAATTTTAATACTGAAGTAGAAGAGAGTGGTGAAATTTGCAGTAAGAAATAGAGAAATATACCCAATTTTAAAGCTTATTGGATCCAACATTATTATAAAAAAATTCACGCCATAAAGTAATAATTAAATAAGATAAGGGACTAGTACGAATATGAAGAGAGAGAGGGAGGGTCCAATTTTAGAGAGAATTTTCCACACAGAGAAGGGGGAAGAACCTCAATTCCAGAACTTACACAATACAGAATCAATATAATGTCAATAAATTATTTGATAGAAAAAAGCTGGGGAAATTGATTTGGGTGTGATAAAAAGGCTCAATTCTGAAACTTACAGCAAAATCACGTATTATATATAATATACACACACATCACACCTGCATGGATGTGTGTATTTAGAGAGAGTATGAAGAAGCAGTACCTTCTTTCTGACCGCCGGAGAGTGAGAAGAAAGAGAGGAAATAGAGAGGGGAAGAAGTTTGGAGAGCAAGGTCTCGAGTTTGGAGTCGTCACAGAGAGCCAAACGGGTGAGCATCCGATCCAGCATTTCTTCTACCTCCGCATCGGATTTCACTGTAGGAACCGACGGCGAAGACGATGATTCCGACATTATCCGTGTTTTCTTTCTTCTCTGCTCTTTTATTTTCTTTTCTGCCAAGACAAACAAACAGAGACCGAAGGAAGGTGTTATAGACTGAAGGAAGATATTGGTTCTTCAGAATCAAGGTCTTACATATATAGGTACTAGCTGGCCCACCTCGTGGCCGACCTCATACAAGTAGACAACATTTTAATCCATGCTTATATTTGATGTAATATTTTTTTTTGGGCCTTGGAAACATGCCATTAGGCAGTTTGGATTGATGGAATTGACGAAAAAAATAACAACAATATCTAAAAATACTTTAAATTTTATTTGTATTAAATAAGGTCGACTCAATTCCACTTTTGAAAACGTGAGATTATAGTATTTAGGCCCGGTTTGGTTGGAAAGAAATAAAAGGAAAAGAAAAGAGAAGAAATGGAGATATATAGGTATTTTTTTGTGTGTTATAGTGAAAAATAAAAGATTTGGAAAGATAGATTAAAGTTATGTTTGGTGTACTGAAAAAGAATAGAAAGGATAATAATATCTAGAAGAAAATAAAAATAATATGATATTACTTGAAAATGGAAAAGATAGTAATCATGTTTGAAAAGTAGAGAAAAAAAAAATGTTTGTAAAGTAATAAAAAATAAAAATAAAAAAAGACTATTTTAATAAGTTTACCATTTTTCTTATAGTTTGTTTTTTATAAAAAAAATAAATAAATAAAGATAAATTTGATAAAATTCCATTAAAAAATAGTTGACTTTCCTTCCAGAACCCCATTTTTGGAAGGATAATAAAACCAACAAAAACATAACATTTGACGGAAAAGTTATATAAAGGGATTGGGTTACCTAAATTGTTCGTGTGGCGCCCCAAATTCGAAGATTCGGTGCATCAACGAGAAACAAAGAAATTTAACCCGGTATCAAGTCCCAAATGCGGAAGCCAAACAAAATAAAGAGGTCACTAGAAGCAACCATCATCTATAGGACAAAAAGAGGACCACATATGAAGTCACAAAACTCAACTCAAAGCCAATACGGAGACTAGAAACAAAAGGGGCTCAACCGTTCACAATGCGGAAGTGAAGGGTAAAATGGCCAAATGACATGACCGTGGCTAAACCAAGTGAAGTATCTAATGGATCTACATAGGTCATACAAAAACATAAAGGAACCTCCCATGAAATTCTAATCCCAAAAGGAATGGTTTCGAAACAAACTGGCATTATTAACATATGGAAAATATGACCAATCCTCCCTAAAATGGTAATAACTCTTCCTATGGCTGGAATCTTGGAGTGGGAGTGGCACCATTGAAAGCTCATTTCGACACGGTCATTTTAAACTCAAGAACGACCCAACTTGGAGTTAAAACGAATGAGATATAACTGTTTGAATTTAGCTTGATGGTGTTGTGAACCCTGTGCAACTAGTCCCCCAAAACCATTAATTCTGCCAAAGAATGAAAATTAAGCCTAAAAACATAATTCCCAAGGGTCCGATCACATGTGAAGGTGTCTAATTGCACCCAAATGACCCCAGAGTGCCCCGAAATGGTTGGTTCGGTTGCAAAAAGATGCGAATGAGTCAAGGGATCATTCTAAGGTTTAACCTTGGCTCGAAAGCTTTCTCCAAACCTTATACAAACTTCCCCCAATCATGACTAATGCTTAGATACGAAAAATACATCCAAACTAGAGTGTCTACGCATGGTATGGTCAATTTGTGAACCAAGGGGTATGTGTAATCATATAATGAATGTGCATTAAAATGTATTACATACATTGAAATCAAAACGACCTTACGGCCTCAAATACATTACTTTCATCAAGTGTCAAATATAATTATCCAAAATCAAAACATATAACCCAAAAGATAGAAGTCCTAAATGTGAATTACAATCAAGTGTTTACAAATAGCACAACAATATGTGTCAATAAGTTTCAAATGCATCCTCTCAGAACAAGTAAGTGAAGAATCTTCAAAGGCAATGCCTTTAACCTTAAAAATGTAAACCAACGGGTGTGAGTAATTTAAATTACTCCGTATGAAAGTACATTATAAGGATAACATAGGGTTTCATTAGCCTTGTAAGAATAGCATAGGACATACAAGTGAGGTACATGTCTCGTATGCGTCTATTTCAAGGGTGGAACTAAGGGATCATCTGTGATACCCCCGAATTTCCAAGTGCGGGTTGACTAGTCCCACACCCGAAGACCCGAGAATTTCAAAAATAATATGGCAATAAACGAACACAGAATACAAAAGGGTAAATAAATAATAAATAAAATGCTAAAAGGAAAATTAGAATAATAATTAAATCCTCAAAATAACTTTCATTAAATAAAAATCTCTTCTGATAACAATAATCCTCCAAAATACAACTCAAGAATCCATACTATGTGGACTCCTATAAAAACCCAAATTGAAATAAATAACAGTAATAACTGTCCACGTCTGAATACTGAAAACATAAACTAGAATCCTACATATATGACTGGAAGAGTGATGATAACTGGTCTTTTCTCTGCACGTACAATATTTATACCTGATATTGACATGGACTTAAAAAATAAATAGTGTGTTAGACACACAAACAAATTCTTTCTACTATATCCCACAGGGGCCTAATGGATGAATACATCTTAGTTAACTTATGCAATAGCTACATAGGGCATACTCTCACTGGACTATAGATACACACTAAAGACTCTCATTGGACTATAGGGCATACTCATCCCGATATTAGGCATCATGTAAAACACATGTGTAATCATGAGTACCATCATCTACCAGGGCATACTCACATCCTCTATATCCAACTACACATCCCAGGAGCAATATAGCCTTCCTAACCATCGATCCTGAAAACTCAAACTCATATCATGGTACATACATATATACAGCCATATCCTAATAATGGCAAAATCCATATCCGTCATCCATATCCTGACAATGGCATGACAAGAATGAGTCTAAACTTATTAGTCAGCTCACCTTTAATATAAATCAATATCCTGACAATGGTGTATAATTTGAAACCATATCCTGACAATGGTTCCCACATAATCAAACAGATAATAGATAAAGATCAAATATATATAATAGATCACATAATATTGCCATAATCATGATTATAATCATTAAAATATCAATTGCAACTGTAATAACAATTAAAGCAATATATATCATCATATAAACAACTTATAATCCAATATATTATTCATAAATCACATTATGATTAATATCATTTATAATATGATCAATATCATTTATCAAAGTATCCAATAATAACAATTATATAATAAATATGATTTATCAACGAGAATGAATAATTATGCTTAATATCATTTATCATACTACACCATATACTTCAATTACGATTATTATATTTTAATACCATACCAAATATGTTATCAATATAATTAATATTATTTATCAAACATACACCCTATAGTTAAGAATTTTTAAAAAAAATTATCGAGTTTTAGTACGACGAACGCAATTCCGAAAATAAGCCTAAAAATAAAGTATCTCTACAAATTCTGGAAAAATAAAACAAGAAACACAATCAACAAAAACTGTTAGAATTTTTGAATGAAAATTATTTCATAAGTCATCAACAAATGCCTTTGACTGAACATAAGTGATCACTGATTGGTTGTAGGATAAAAAGATGCAACTCAAAACCAACAGACATAACATATTCAATGTGAACCATTGAAACCTATTGCAATGTTTGTGTCCAATGATGAAGAGACACATATAAATCGCCAGTGATAAATAGACACATATAAATGGTTGTGACGAAGAGACACAAATAAATGGTTGTGTCCAATGATGAAGACACGCATATAAATGGTTATATCTAATGATGAAGAGACACACCCAATCTGAAAAATCACCTCTATTTCTATAAATACCTCATTGGGCTGCCATTTGCAAATCGTTTAATTCATTTTCTTCTTTCTCCCTCTCTAGACTTGAACCCAGCCCAAGTGGGTTCAAACCACAGGTCAAGTGGTCCGAGTCACTTAGATCCTAATCCAATTTCATCAAGCCATATTAAGATTGGTCCGAACCATTTGGATCGGATTGCACCCATTTTAACATTTATATAGTATAGATGCATTTTTTAGTAAGAGAGAGTATTACATAGAGGAGGTTCGCCATATCCACGAGTTTGTAATACTGCTACTAGTGGATGTAGACTGTTGTATCCTGGGAGACAAGCGCCACAGAGTCCCTCAGTACCATGCAGGGCGTAAATTATCTTAAGTACATAATATCCAATACTAGCCTCGGTCCAGTTTTTTATTTATTAATATTATTTTATTGTTTTAATTTAAATGTTCGTTAAATATCAAGTTGCATATTTAATTAATTAATTTTTAGCATATTATTAATTATTTTATGGCATATTAGTATAAGGTTAGTTATATCTTAAACGTCATATGAAGTATAAATATTTACCAACAATCTTAAGATAATTTATTCCTTGCTTAAATTTTATTGTATGTTTCTATTCAAGATATAAACAAGTAGAGATTATACTAATAATTGAGATATAATAAAATAATGTTATATATATTATTATATGATAATATGTTAAATCTTGATGTGTTCAATATTATGTGAAATTGAAACATGTTATATAAGTAGATTATTGAATTATTTATATTATTCATTATTGGTTTAATTATTTTAATTTTATAATATGATATTATGAAGTATATTATATTATCTTAAATTTGTGCCAACTAGAGGTGAAAAAAAGTACTTCGTAACTTTTATCAATAATTGCATAAGATACTGTTACGTAAATTTGCTACGAAGTAAAGATGAAACCTTATAAATGTTTAAACATTACAAAAATGAGGTTGAGAATCAACTTGACAAAAAGATCAATGTGTTAAAAAATGAAAGAGGTGGTGTAATATCCCTAATTTTAAAAGGATAGTCTCGACATTTTAATTATTGTTTTAGTGTATTTTTATTTGATTATTTGTTTATTTGCTTAATTGAGTTAATTGTACTATTTGTTTTATTTAATTAAATTAATTGTTTTAATTGTTTAATGGTTTAATTGTAT